TTTTCTTTCTTTATTTGGTGAGGTATTTAGAGTGATATGACAGTTCAAATTTTTATGTTTGAAGGAGCCCCACTCTCCCCTAACTTTGTCTGCTCTTACAAAAATTCAAAACGCAAATTCACTTTTTTAAATTGTTTGGGGATCCCAATTATATTGTTTATCAACAACTGGTGTATTCATAACTCATTTTTAAATAGCCAAGATAATAAATTTAACGATAAAATAAATTTAAAAATAAAGATAAAACATCGCGAAAATGTAAATACGAGACGTAGATATTACTTACCAGCCAAAACTTTTCTCTTGATATGGACACAATCATCGGCCATTAGGCTACTGAATTTCTCATTGACAAGTCTTCCGACCGTATCGGCTAAATCCTGCTCTTCTTTCGTGGCGAACGGAAGATCTTCCATGGCAGGATTAGATGAAATCGGACTGGAGTAATTGGTTAATTTGCTTAGTGCTGCTGATGCCGCCGCGTTTTTAGCTAGTCTCTTGTTAGAGCCAGTACCGAAATAGGTTTCATTGTTAATATTTATGGATATCTTAAATCTACCGTAAGGATCGCTCTCGTTGGAAATGCAACTGAACTCGGCGTCTGGGTATAATTCATTTAATAGCATCAAAGGTCCTTTAACTGCTTTGTTCTTATTTGATAAGGTATTGTCGTTTTTCTTGTTGATGACTTGGTCTGATGTAAAATCCAGTCTCGTACCTAAAAAATGAAACTTTTTAACCACTTAATTTAAAATATTTTTTGCAAATAGCCAAATGCTGCAGTCGGCATCCACTCAGTCTGAAAAAAATTGTACACTGACACTGAATAGAAGATAAAACCATAAAATGCTTATTATCCATTCGACTAAACAAATTAATATAATTAATGTGTAACTGACCACACTAAATAAAAACAGATGCCTTCTGTATTATAATTTTTCCAATACCATATGATAAATAAATAATTATATTAAAACTTGTCTTGAGTTTATCTCACGTATTATATTACATTCAAAGAAGCCTAGTAAATAGTTTATATTTTAGTGATAGTCACGTTTTGCATACTTGCAAAAATGTCTATTATTTTATAGTGTCAGTGGCGGCCGGTCAGGGTCGGCAGTGCCGACCCACACCTTTATAGATATTATAGATTTTTTTAAATATTTTAATTTAATCAGTATTTCACTAAATAATTGTGGGAGGTAATCAGTTGATGTCATTTGTTACGTTACTGTGATACGTTACGTCTGCCGTAAATAGTTAAAGATTAAAGGGTTTTTTGAGATATTAAAAGTTTTTTTTTAATTGAAGTGTAAACAAATTCAGTTGAATTAACCTAAAAAATGCAAGCCATGGAGAAACTGTAATATTGATAAGTCTGATATTGTAAATTATATTTTGCATAATGGGTTTTCATCTATATCATACGAAGAACAAATTGTTATTAAAAATAAGGGGCGTCCTTTGCCTAAAATGTCCCGGCTTATAAATATTAGTGTGGGTAAGGGAAGTAATAGATCATTATCAGATAATTGGTACAGCAAGTACTCATGGCTTACCGGGAGTGAAATAAAAAACAAACTTTTCTGTTGCCCTTGCATTTTATTTTCGACAAATAGGGGCAAACATCAAAATTCGTGTGTGAATCTGGTTACGATAATTTAAAAGGAATTACATAAGGCTTTACAAAAACATGATATTTCGAAAAATCATGCTTACAGCCAGATTAAATTAGATTTATTTGGAAAACAAAATATCTATGTTCCATTAGATAATGCCCAACGTGAAAATGCTATTAAACATAACGAAATTGTAAAAAATATTCACGCATTTTTACGTTGTTTAATTGATATGTAATTTTTTAAGTTGTCAGGAATTATCTGTTAAGGGAAACGATGAATCGGAGCATTCGTTAAATCAAGGTAATTATAGAGAACTAATAAAAATGTTTGTTTAAGAAATACGATTTGGAATTTCTAATTTACTTTCTGATTCGAAGACATTAGCGTGTATATAAAACAATCCAGAATGAATAAATAGAATCAATTAGTTACATTTTGACTAACGTTATTGAATCTGAGATTCAGGAAACCATTTGCTTTTCACTAGAAGTAGATGAAACTACCGATATATCATGTCATTCACAATTATCAATTGTTGTTCGATACGCGTTATGTGGTAATATCTATGAGAGGTTTTTAGGTTTTACAGACGTGAGTAAAAAGCCATACTTAAGGCAGAATATATTTTGGTGTTTTAAAGGACAGATTAAAATTTTTTGATATCAAAATAAATTGGTAGGGCAAACTTATGACGGCGCTGCCGTGATGTCTGGTGAATTAAATGGTCTCCAGGCAAAAGTTAAAACTATTGCACCGCAAGCTTTATTTACTCACTGTCATACGCATAGAATGAATTTTGTTTTGCAGGATACATGTAAAAAAATTAAAGAATGTCGTCTTTTTGCCAGTTTAAGCGGATTTGCTTCATTTTTCTCAAGCTCGCCTAAATCGACTAATGTTTTAGAACAGTTTGTTTCCAAAAAAATGCCACCAGTTTGTCAGACGCGATGGAATTTTAAATCTCGGTTTGTTTTCACTGTAGCAGATTTTCGTGAACAGCTTTTGGAAGTTTTTGATTTTATTAGTAATTTCCAGTATATACGCAGTGACGTTTTGGACTCGCTTGATATTTCCGAACCCCAAAAAAAAGACAAAGGCATCACACAGAAAAAAAATCTCGAAAAACGAGTATATTTTGAAATTTTGGATCTTCCTCTAGAAATCACTAGATTGGAGACCACCAATCTAGTGATCCTAGAGGAATTCATTTTGGATGCCTTTGGGAAGGGGGCTCAGGTCGACGTGATCTATACCGACTTCTCAAAGGCATTTGATTGTGTTAACATCAAGATTCTTATAAAAAAAACTAGAGGTACTAGGGATCATGGATCATTCATGGATCCCTGCTTGAGTGGTTGGAGAGCTACCTGACAGACAGGCTTCAGGTTGTCAAAGTCAAGAACTGTCTTTCTGAAGAGATTTTGGTTAGGTCTGGCGTCCCACAAGGCGGTCATTTATCGACTATTCTTTTTATTTGTTTTATAAACGACATTTTAGAAATCTTTGAAAAATGGTGTACAAAGAATGACCTTTCACTTAATATCGATAAATGTAAAATAATGCGCTTTTTTAGAAACTCAAACCTATCTGTTTTAATTACTCTATAATAATATATATCTGGAACCAACAAATACTTTCAAAGATTTAGGTGTATTTTTTGATCCCACTTTATGTTTCAAAAATCACTATAATTATATTTGTAATAAAGCTTTTAAATTACTTGGATTTTGAAAAGAACCTTGTCAGAATTCAATAACCTAGATTGTTTTTAAAAGTGTGTATTGTTCTATGGTTAGATCAGTTCTGGAATATTCCAGCACTATTTGGTCTCCTTATATGTCATATTGAAAGTATTGAGAAAGTTCAGAAAACATTTTTGCTCTTTGTAGGCTATAAATTAGGAATTTCTTCAAAAGATATAGTGTATTGTCACATTTTAAAATTACTTAATATACCAACATTTAGAAAATCGTCATTTAATGCTAGATTTGGTTTTTCTTTTCAAAGATTGTAAATGAATGATAGATTCGCCTCAAATTTGCAGAGAATAGGTCTTAGAGTTCCTCAAAGGTGCACCAAGATCCAAGAACGTTTTTCGCTTAGAATTCCAACAAACAAACAATTGTCTAAATAGACCTATAAGACGAATGTGTCAATCTGGAAATGGTTTAGATTTAGACTTTTTTTCTAGCTCTCTGAATAGTTTTCAAAAAAAGCTGAAAAATCTTTATAAAATACAATGTAGGCTGTCACTGTAAACTGTCATTTAGGTATTTATTCTATTTATTTGTCTTGTGTAAATTGTATGTAATTATTATATGAATTCCTAAAACTGTTAATATGATATGATTTATTTAATGATTGTAATTATTGTAATTGGTATAACCGTAAATAAACTATTTATAACATTCTTGTCGACTGGGTTACAGAAATTTGTGATCTGGGAATTAATTTAGTCTAACTTTTATTTGAATCGCATTATGTCAATAATTTACAAGTCTTTACAAATGCTTGGCTTTATAAAAAGATTCACTAGAGACTTTCAGAATATTGAAGTGATTAAATTACTATATTGTTCTTTAGTCAGACCCATCTGTAGTATTGTTCTTGTATATGGTCTCCATCTTATAATATTTACATATCAAAAATTGAGACAGTTCAACACAAGTTCTTGAAATATGTAGCATATAAACAGGGTATACCTTTGAATTAAATCAAGTAAATTATGATCAAATGAAAACCAACTTAGCATTCTCTTGTATGACCGAAGATTAATTAAAGATGCAAAGATGCTTTATGACATAATTAATTATACAGTTTAGTGCCCTCAGCTACTTGAGCAGTTTGGTATGCATGTACCTTTCCGTAAAACACAATTAAACCAAACTTTTTATGTTCCTCTTCACAGAACCAACTATGCAGTCAATAATTTTTTAACTCAAGCACTAAGATGGGCAAATATTCACCCAGATCTAGATTTTTTTGTACGGAAGGCTAAATTCATTTCTGGTCTCAGGCATGTGTTTTTTTTTGAGTGGCTGTGGAATAGGTAATCATCATTTTGATGTGTAAAACTAAATTATGTTATTAAGTTTGTGATATTTATACTTATATTTTTTTGTTATATCTTATCAATCTTATTGGGCAGTAGCCCGTTGAATATAAATAAATAAATTTTGTTTTATATGATTTACTTTTTAATTGGTAACATAGTAAAAGTTTTGACCTGTAATAGTTAATGACTAAAAACCTACACCCTACACCTATTACACAGCAGGAAAAGTACAAGTTTCTTCAGGGGCCTGTATACCTTGTTCAAAAGGCCTGTATACTCCATTCCACGAATATACAACTGTTTTAAATTTGCTTTAAGGTGTCTATTTAAATGGTCCAATGTACTGAATTGTACAATAGTAAATTCTCCCCATTTTTAAAACACTGTTACGACAGATATAAACCTTAGATTTAAATATGAACTTATGATATAAATATAAAGTTAATAGTTTATAAAACAGTTGTAATTCAGATTTTGAAGTATATAATTACTATCATGGAGTTTATTTTTTTATTTCAATTATTTCATTGTAAACAAGTTGGTTTTTGAATTATGTGATTTAAACGAAATGTAACAATACTTAAGTGATCAAATAGTGTAAATTTTTTAGTCGAGTATTCAATTAATATTAAAAAACAAAAAAACTTACTTATTCACTTATTCTCTTAATCTTCTAAACTATCATCAACGATCAGATTCACAGCCATAATCAGTCGGCGATATATGAAACTGTATATAAATTTTCGTTACTTTTTAATATCAGTCACGACTCGGTACTTTAACTATCAATAGCCGGTATGTTATACCCAATACTTTCGGAACTTTTAAGAGTACATAAACTCAAAGCAAACAAGTATTTAAAACTAACAAAGTGAAATATTAGATCCTTTTTCTGGTTTGTGAACCATGGTTCTGCCAATTTCTTTTCATTTATATTAAAAATATATATTTCTTTTTATTACAGTTGTAATACCTAATAAAGTAATAAAATGTGTTATATCCCGGCATAAGAAACCCGGCACGCCTCTTTGGTGTTTACATTTTACAGAAAGCTTATCCAAATGATGAACATATTTGGCTTCATAGACGTAATTGTATTTATTTGTAGATTTTAACTGAAATAATTTTAGTTTAGATGTCATACTAGTAGACCCTTTTTATTGGACCAATTAGACCAATTGACCTTCATACTTCTACTTGCACAGTAAAATATTCGTTGTCGCAGTACACCAAAACAGTTGTATATTCGTGGAATAGCCTATACTACCTAACCTAAGTACTCAACGATTTCATCTGTTATTTATAAAATCTCAATTTTTTCAAAGCATATTTAAAAAAACATGATTGTTTAAAAATAAAAGATTCTAATTGTCAAATAATAGAAGCAGAATAACTTCAAGAACATTTAATTTTTTTATTTCTTTAGATTGAATACTTCTGACAAAGTATGTATTCATACTACTGAACCTTTTTATTATATCTTATCTATAAAACTGAAGTATCCTGATAATAGTTTTGTTGATATGATCATGTTCAAAATATTTCCTTTCTTATTTCTTGATATACTTTTTAAAATAGTTTAAACGCTGATCTGCTATACTATTTAAACTTAATTCAGTATCTATAAGTCTGTCAATATTGTCTTGTAAGATAAAACTGCATTGTTGCGAATGTTTTTACCATATTACTGTCATAGTTCCACCAGATTTTTTAATAGTTAGACTATTGTACAATTTATTTTTTAAATTGTGAATGATATTAATAATTTGTTATTTATTACTTTATCATACATCACCATCATTTGTTCCTCTGCGGAGCATGTATTCCTATCTAAATACTAAATCATACATTATGATTTATATACAAGCTCACAATATGAATATGTGTAAATGGATTTATACCTAATTGTGGAGTAATACTTGTAAGTAAAAAAAATAGAGTAGCAAAACTAACCTGGAACAGTTTTCTTGGAGACAAATGTACCATTAGTTGGGAACTGAATAAATGACTTTAATGCTTCAGTTGCTGCTTCAAATTTGGCGGCCTTTTTGGAGTTGCCGATTCCATAATACTTTTGTCCATCAACTACAACACATATCTTGAAAGTTGGATTATGAGAAGGACCAATATGTTCAATTATTTCATACTTCAATCCAAGTCTGAGCTCATTTAGTAGCGAATTGGATTTTTCTCTTGAAAATTTATGTTTTTGGGGTCGCTTTTCCTTTTCTTTTGAGCGTGAAGGTAATCATCTTCTTGGGATCGTTTTCCAGATGATTTTTCTCCTACACTTGTGTTCAACGATTCGGTTTCCAATTCGTTTGCCATTATATTTAAAACTTTTGTAGGTATTCACTTTTTAAAATTCTATTTCAAATATCCCGTTCCCTTCACTAAAATTAACGTACTTTTTAGATTTTATTAAACAATGTGAATGGACGCTTTTAACCAGCCAACCGCAGTAAATAATGTTTGATAAAATTTAATTATGTTGTCCACACTGAGCAACCAATTTTTTGTTTAAATCAACCTATTGTCATATTTAAACTGTGCAAAAGAATCATCACTGGAAACTACCACTGGAAAACTTTAATTGATAAGGATATTCAGAATTTTTTTATTTTCTTTCAAGAGTTTTTAGAAAACCTCACTACATTTCATGTACTATCTGAGTCAATTGTCAATTACTTGTCACTTGTCTTGTCAGTGGTTGTCGTTGTGTACAAAATTATACGTCATTGGTACAAAAGTAAAAAATAGCTTCCGCTTCCGCGTCAATGTACACAGCCACAGCCATGGCAAATAGAATAATTTAATAATTACGCTGTGTGACTGTGTGAGTTTCAATTCTCTAATCAACGATGATATGAATAAGTGGATTTTGTTCACGGGAATGAAAGACAAAGCTCTCAAATATATTCCAAAAAAAGTTATATAAAACTTTGTTTAATATATAATTTTAAATTATCTTGAAATACTCGGTATATAAGAGAAAAAAGAAGAATGTTAAATAAAATTTAAAGGTTATCTATCTGCCAATTCATGCCCAGGGAATCCAAAGACTCCAGTTTAATTAACTCATTACGAAGAAATAAAAAAATGTTTTCTAGCCATCCTTCACTAACCGACATTTCGAAATTAAATAAAGGAGAAGTAACTAAAATTTTAGATGGTATTGATACTGTATTATTAGACTGTGATGGAGTTTTGTGGTTGATGAATGAACCAATACCAGGTTCAGTAGAAGTTGTTAATATGCTGAAAGAAATTGGGAAAAAAATAGTATTTGTTACTAATAATTCCACAAAAATACGAGAAGAATTTGTTATTAAAGCTAAAAGAATGGGATATAATGTAGAAAAGGTTAATAGTGTTTTTTATAGTGGTTTTTGGTAATAGTGTATTTTCTGATAAAATGCGTTAAGCTTTCACGGCCATTGTCTAACTTGTTAAACTGTTTATTCGGGCTGTTGTCTTCTGACATTAGTTCTCGACTTTTCGCCAACACTAGAAGTTGGCATCTTCTGGAGATGTTACTGCTTCGCTTGTAAGATAGCTTACAAGCGAAACAGTAACTTGAACATAACTTTAATTACTACAAAACAGGGATATTCATATTGTGTCGATTTACTTGTAAATGTGTTAGTGTTATGTCATTTTGTCTGTAATTCTAATTTAATGTTACATTTTATTTACTAAAAAATAATTTTTAGGATGATATCATATCCACAGCATATCTAGTAGTTTCGTATCTAAAAAATCATGGATTTTCTAAGAAAGTATATGTGATTGGTTCTAAAGGAATCACACAAGAACTAGAATCTGCAGGAATTAAACATCTAGGGATTGGTGTAAGATGAAATTGTTTTTATTAAAATAATACATAATATTCACACAACAATCACTCAACTGTAATATAGAGGCAGTGCGTGATATTCATGGCTTTTATCGTAAATTTATACTGCTTAAACCATTGTAACCTAAGTTTTCTCATTTTGGTGTCAATTTTTCAATTATTGGTAGACACCTCTAGACTTCCCCTGATATACTTATTCCTAATTTTATCCCTTTTTATCATTCCACTCATCCATCTAATTTAATCCTGGTTTTTTTTGGCAGTACAAACATTTTCATTTCTGCAACATGCAATAGTTGTTGTCTTTTTAACTGCCAAACATTCAGTACCCAACATGCTGCTGTTGTGACAGACTTATCAAATCCATCCATTCAGTTACATTGATCACTCAATACACCACTACTTTCATTTTGTTTTTTCCATTCTACTCATATTATATTACTCATACTCATATTCTCATACTATATTAGTATAATAAATCGATATCATATAATATCGTATAACTATCTTCAATATTATTTCCAGCCAGATGTTATTCAAAATAATCTTGCTACCACTGTAGAGAATATCCATCTTGACCCAGATGTGGGAGCTGTAGTAGTAGGATTTGATGAGCATTTATCTTATGTAAAGGTGATGAAAGCTGCTTCATACTTAAGCAAACCAAATTGCCTCTTTATAGCAACCAATACTGATGAAAGATTCCCCATGAGTTCAGATTTGATTATACCTGGTGCGGGAACTATGGTGAGAGCAGTTGAAACTGTTTCTCAACGAGAAGCCACTGTTGTTGGAAAACCCAACCCTTATATAGTTGAGGCACTTATCAATGAACATGGGATAGATCCTAAGAGGACTATAATGGTTGGTGACAGGTAAGTCTATAAGTAGAAACCTTGTTTTTAAATAATTTAGTTAGATAGTTGATTTGATGTCAGAAAATGTTATATAAAAAGAAAGAAAAATATGACAGAAAGGAAACAATCTATTGTGCAAAATTCAATTGGGTTCTTTAGACCAGGAGAAACCTATGTATCAGGTTTTAAGTTAAGGACTTTTTTAGGGCTGTTAGGGTTTGTAGATTGCTATATAGCAATCTATGCTTGGAACTTCTGCTTTATTATAATTTTTTGAAAGTAGTTATGACTATATTTGAGCGGTTTAAGCGTTTTCAATATGGTTGAGAAAATTTATTCATTAATGTGGTTAATATTCTTCTTTTGGTTAGGTTTTTTATTTAAATTATGATATATTAAGAAATATATAATAAAAAAAGTAAGATACTGTAAGGGAAATAGACTGAAACACCTGTCATGTTATGTATATTAAAAAGAAACTATTTTTTGTCTTATCTTTGTTTTATTTGATAATTTACCATATAAAATATTCTTTCTAGATGTAATACAGATATTTTATTGGGAACAAGATGTGGTTTTCAAACACTCTTGGTGCTGACTGGTGTAACGACCCTGGAAGACATTCAACAACGTCAGAAATCTAGTAAAAAGGAAGACCAAGAATTGGTACCTGATTATTACCTAGACAGTTTAGGTGATTTATTACCGTTCCTAAAATAAATTGAACTAGTCATATTTCATGCAATTTAGACAATTTTAGACAAATTTTGTATTGTTCAATCAATGTACTGAGTCATTGGGAAAAATCATAATTAAGTAGGTTGTGAAATTTACATTTGAATGCCATTGGTTGGCAATTTAACCATTTCTCAAATTATAAGTGTCAGTACATGACATTTATGAATTGTCAGTGTCGATATAAAAGTTGTTTTTAAACAAATTTTGGTCAAAAAGTGGGATTATGTATATATTATTTGGTACAAGTGGTTTTAATCTCAATCTATGTTATTTTTCTCCTAAAAACTACTCTAATTCGGTTTTTTCTAGTTGCTCTATATTTTGAAGTTGATAACTGATGATTTCAATAGACCATATTTTTGTGACGTCATACTTTGTGCATTTAAATATGTTGCAATTCTAAACTATATAAGTATGTAACAGTTCATTTTAACTATTTTATAAATTTATTAGATTTATTAACATTATTTATAGATTTATTAACAATTACAGTGAGTGTATCTTTCTCCGAGCTCTATCCCTAGTGACTCCTTAATCATTTGGCCTAAGGCAAAACATTCCAAGCATCATAATGACAGTTTAATGAGTTGTAGCAAGTATAAACCTGTTTCAGCAGTAGTCTTCACCTTTCGTTTATTATATTTTTAAGTTCTACTCTAACTGTAACGCTTAATTCATCTACTGATTTGTATTCAATAAAACAAAGCTTTTGAACAAGTTTCTTGGAATTCTTTCGGCATAATAACGCAAACACAATTTTTTTCATAGTTATCCTTTTTTTTTGTTGTATTTCACTGATTTTGTCCATACTTTTATTTTGATATATTTATTTATTGATTTTGGAATAGCGTCGAACATTCAGTTTGTTTATAATAAAGATGAAACTAACCCCAAAATAAATTAGTGTGACGTCATACTAAAAGGCTTATTGCTACCATAAACTAGTGATACAATAGAAGAAATTTAAAAGCACTAAAAATATGCTTTGTGTTCAAAAAGTACTCTTATACTAGTAGGTACTGATTTAGTTCCTTACAATGATTTAGTTCCTTACAAATGTTGCTTTAATGGTGTATAGATAGATACAGTTAAGATCTTTATCAGTGTTCATCGTTTAAAAACACGAAATATATGAAATACATCAATAGTTTTCAATTTGTCCCGACCAACGGCTGTAAAGTTATTTAAACAAAAAATATGTATGTAATAAAAAAAATTGAATGGCAAGAGCTGTGCAATGACAGCATAACAAACTGACAGTCTCGGTATAAATAAAAGTGACGTCACGAATTTTACCAAATCAGTAAAGAGAACATTTATTTATAATATTCATCATCATCACTGGCTGACCCTTTTTGGGTCTCCAGGATTCTTCTTCATTCTGATCTGTTTCATGCTTTTTTCTCCAGTTTTTTATTTTTAAGGTTGTTATATTATTTTCTATTTGTTCTAAGTATCTTAGCTTTGGTCTTCCCCTTGTTCTTTTTCCTACTGGTATCTGTTTGAATATTTTGTTTGGTATTTCGCCTTCTTCCATTCTTTTCTTTATACTCTTTATTTTTGTTTATTTCTTTGAGTCCTTCTACCTTGTATCGTTCATGTTTAGAGCCTTTTTCCTTTTTGATGTTTGAAATTCTAGCCCTTACCCTACTTGCGACCAGGTAGTGATCAGAATCGGCATTTGCCTCTCTTCTGGTGCGGAGGTCTATTATATTAGATTGGTGTCTCGAGTCTACAATGACATCCTGTTTACTGTAAGCCCATCTGGAGATTTCCGGGTACCTTTGTGTATATATTTGCGAGCGAAGTATGTGCTGGCAATCACCATGTTAAGTGATTTTGCTAGGTTTATTAACCTATTGTCATTGTCATTTGATTGCTCATCTGCGACTGCCTACCTATTGTGGGTTGGAATTGCTGTTCTCTTCCAACTTTGGCGTTTAGGTCTCCATAGATTATTTTTATATCATTTTTTGGGCATAACTGATTTGCAGACTCTAATTGCGCATTAAATTTATAATATTACTTATTATTACAATAAATGTGTTGTGGTGTATCAGGTAATAATAACGCACAGGTAAAGATCTATACTGTAGGTATATAACACTAACATAAATATTTGTATATAATAAACTAAAAGTTTATACATGTTTAAAAGATATTAAATATATTTTAGTTGTTGTTGTCAAAATTTTGACTTTTAAAAATACTTTAAGGAATATCTGTTGAAGGTAAACATTTTATATGCCTGTATGACTTGAGAATTAAAGCTTTTGAATGAAATTGTTGTGTAAATAAAAGTTGTATTTTGTTTATTTATTTATTATTTCTAGTATTCCTAAACTCCGTTGCGATCTGCAGTAACATTTAGAAAGACAGCTCTAGAGACAATCAGTGTAAGTTCCGTGCAAGTTAATTTAGGTTAGGACTTGTGTGAAACTGTTTGAATGTGTCCAAGTATCGAGGTTGAAATGAAGTGCTGATAAGATTCAGTGCCCTAATTTTTCTTAACGCGTGTACTATATAGATAGCGACAAAAAATGTATATGTTGTAGATTACTTCTCAAAGAACCCATATCTACGAACAAAACCTTTTTAATGGGTATATGATATTACCCATTAAAGTCTCCATACGAGGTAGGCGTATTTATAATTGTTTATGACACCTTTTATAATTTGTAAGGTCAACTAATTAGAGACAAAGGAAATATGGGGTTACATTAGTTTAAATGAATATAAAACGATTAAAAATATATTTAATATGAAAAAACTTAATAAACAAATGGAATAACAGCCTTTCTCTTCTTTGGTAAGTCTCTAAAAGTTTCTTGGTACCACCAGTGAGACAACAACATTGTTTCGACCTAAAACAAAATACTAATCAGACAAATACATTATAGGGCGATCCATATCTAAGGAAGCCAACGCTATGTCCGTCTCTTATTGAATTTGAAAAATACCAGCAATATTTCGCCTATTATCATCATTTCCCACTTTGTTGTAAGCTTACAGACAAGTTATCTATGTTTGTAGAATCTTTTAACCTCCCAAAATACTCATTGAAAATTGTGATATTGGTTTCTTGCCAATAGAGTCAAATATTTAGCATATACAGTACAAAAATCATGATGTGGATAACCAACATAACAATCATCCACACATGATCAATATTGACCAGTTTCATGTTGTAAATTCATACTTGTATCAGGAATCATTGATCACAGAGACACTTCAAGCACAGCTGTGCTTGAAGTGCACTGCCTGTGAAAGCACACTTCCACAGGCAGTGCACTGTGGAAGAATCAGAAGTGTTAGTTCAACATCACAGGTACCATAATTTGATTGCATACACAAACAATATTAATATTAATTGATAAATTTTACATGTAACCTATTTTCATATAAAAATAATACCAGCACCTAAATAAACATTTGAACAATTGTTGACTCTAATAGTAAATACATTTGTACACTAATTAAGAAATGACTAGAGACAAAGATCTAGGAAACAGACCACACAGGACTTCACAACAACCACTACATTCCCTCCAGGAAGTTGAGGCTCATGAGAGAGATAAATCTTAATTTTTGTCTGTTTTCTTTGCTTCGAAAGTAAAAAAATGCAGAAAATAAAACCAAGGAACTTCATTTACTTACCTGATTTACAATCACCCATGCATAAACAAAGAACCATGTGATATTGTATCTTAAAATTATTGTTAGCGCTGTATACATTACGATTTCAGCTGCCTGAAGAGGACTTGATATGTATTCAAACCAGTCACCTCTTGGTAATTTGTGGTCACTAGTTATAATTTGTCCTAAAATAATAATTTAGTAAAAATAATGTGTTTAAAGTAATGGATTTCTAAAAATTATTGTAGTCCTTATTATTGTAAACAACAACTTTTGAACATTTATTCATATTAATTAATTAATACAAAAAAAATTGAACATTCATTGATTATTAATATAAATATTAAATTATTATGTATAACTAATACATATGGTAATAACATACCATATATGTAGTAATAATAAACTCACAAGAAACAAAAATATCAGACCAGATGATTACCTCGACAGTAAGAAATGCTTAATGTCCTTTAAATTTAGTTTTACTTGTGAGAAATTGAATAATTCTACGAAAGGTACTTACACTACTCACCTGATTTATTTTTTCTTAAATTAGCTAAAATTTCAGTAGCTTTGTACTGATGCCACCAAGCCCACAAGAATAGAAGTATAGAAAATCTCTCCACATATGTGAGGTTTGAAATATCTACATTTTCAGATTCATATGGTGCTAAAAGGATAAAAATAACATTATTGTATCTACATATTCATGATTCAATGAAAACCATTAGGTAAAGTGTGCAAAAAACATGTTTTGATGTTTACTTTTTAAATATAGACAAGAAAAAAATTTACTAAAAAGAAATACAAGAGTGATAAACTCAATAGAAAAGAAAGCCTGTTGAGTGCTAATATGGTTGGTTCCAAAAAATCTGCTACTCATGATGCATAAATCATGTAATTTATCCTTTGAATTAACCATATATATTATAATATATAAATAAAGAAAAAATACTTACAAATATGTGCAAATTTCGGTGCTTCGCATAAAATGGCAAGTGCCGTGGCTGGATAATAGACAATCCCAACAAAGTATTGATGAATGTTGATATAACTATGTTTGCCAAATATTGAAACGAAATGTGTATCATAAAATCGTCTTATTACTTGCAGTGACATCAAGCAAATTACTACATAAGTTTGAGTTGGTGTAACTAAAAAATATGACAATGTCTATAGGTTTTACCATGAAATTTTTATTTTATTACAGATGATCCTTTGATAAAATATTGTTTATTTATAAGAGATCCATAAGATATCAAAAAATCATCCTCACCACCTCGAACAAATCAGTGAAAATTCTCATTGTACTATCAACCTAACAGTGTTGTTATTAATCATTGAACTTATATATAATACTTACCAAAAGAAACTCTTTCCTCTCCACCCACCAGATCTATCAACTCTACGACCCACCATGGAACTTCATACTTCAACAGGTATACAGCAGTAACCATGGCAAATACCACAGCATAGCAGTTCAGAGCCACCACATAAAAATGCTTGAAACATGCTTTAGGAATCTCTATGAGAAATTTTGAAAAACGTTTACTCTTTTCTTTGCTAGCAAATTTGCCATATCTAATAGTTTGTGAAAACACAGTTGGCAGGTTTTTTTCGAAAAAGTTTAATATATTGGAAAAAAGTATCATCAGAGTTGAAGCCAATGAAAAGCCAAGCAGAATGTAGTTCATTTTTGGTTTGTTTTGTTTTGCAGATCGCTGTTTCTAAAGTATCATGACTGAAACTTGAAAAAAATTGTTAGTTTATATTACAGTTTGAAATGTATTATTAAAGAATATGAACTTTTGTTTTTTCTTAATAGCTGTAATGTTTAAGATAGCTTTATAAACAAGCTAATCTTGATCTTTTATAGAATAGAAAGAAGTAATCTTTTAACATCTTTAGATAATACCTAAGAATATAGACGCTTAATTAAGAGTCTATATTCTTTGCTTTGTTATTAGAGATAAATTGAATAAAATTAGAAAATGTAGATAACAAATTTGAAAGTTATTATTTCCCAAAAAAGAATTGGAAAGTGTTATGGTACCAAATTACATGTAAAAAATATATTGATTTATCAATTTTCGGTACAAATTGTTGTCCAAAATTAATTTATACTGAAAGTGTTACAAATAAAAAAGTAAACAATGTAAACCAAACAAAAAGTAAACAACACAAACATTTTATTTATTAGTCAAAACGAGAAAAAGTACTTACCAGTGTGTACACTTGTGACTCGATGGATACGATACTTGGTCTAATGATAGATAAAAATAGTTTTCTCTTCGTTTGTAGGTAACAAAAATTGCGGCCAGGAGAAAGTGTTAGTTTTCTATTAGAATCGACCCTCTCAATCATATTTTTGTTCAATTTCTATTATTAATGTTTTCGTTGCATGATCGGACTATTATTCTTATATAATTTATTATTATCTTTGGTATTTTTAAAAATAATTGTCTTAACCTCAAACATATTTGTTTTTAACTAAAAAATCAATGACGTATTTGTAAAAAATCAATTTTTTTTATTTTAATGGCGCTATGTACGCAACTAACAATACATCAATGCGAAAGATAAATACTCTAACGTGAAGTTGTCTGCATTCAACAATTAAATAATTTTATTACTTAATTAGATTGAATGTTTTGTATTATAATAATTACTCAAACTACAATATATTATTTAAAATAATGGTTTTTAATATTTGTCTATATAGTAGAAACAATTTAAAAAAAATTAATGGATTGTTGATGAATGTTGACATTTGACTTTGACACTGACATAAAAGGGAATAAGAAAATCACATGACAGATATCCATATGTTTAGTTGTGTGGTAAATATTTTAATTTAATATTTACTAATGAATTGTGCCTGTAAAACTAAATTTCATTAAATGAAATGGCACAGTTTGCCAAAATATGTTTCCTCTTCCTCCTAATCGTGATAATATCGTGTTTCTCGAGAGGGAATGCTCTTGACAACAGCACTACAAACATAATTTCCACCACAAATCAGACAAGCCCTGTTGTATCTAAGGTAACAAAAGAGGAAACAACGAAGGCAACTACACAACCTTCTCCTAACAGTCATAAAGGCAGGGAGCATGTGATAAGTGCTCCGGAGCATGTGATAAGTGCTCCAGTGAAAACATTAAATGTAACAAGTGTGAACACTACTTCAGAAGTAGTTGTATCTAAAAATGTTTCTCAACCGTTAAACGTTACTGTAAATACAACACCAAAAGTTAATAACTCTTCCACACAATTAAAAACTAATCATACTTCCAGTACTACCAAGGCAACTACAACATCTACTACTATTAAGCCAAAAAAACCTTTATTGACTGAACATGATGAAGTGGTGGCAGCTCCAGCAAAACCCAACTTAGATATTCCTACTTTAGCTCATATTGATACAACTATGGAAAAGAAGGTGAGACGGGCAGACTATGTAGTGCCAATTGTAGCTGTTATACTATCTGTTCCACTTGTTGCTGTTATTCTTTCTGTTTTTTATAAAAAAGGAAAGGATTGGTGGCAACACCGCAACTACAGGAGAATGGACTATTTAATCGAAGGAATGTACAACAGCTGAAAATTACTCATATAATTTTACCCTAGTATATTAGCTTAGTTTTTGTATATAAATGTTGACAGATTATTATGTAATGTGCCTTTTTTATATGCAATACTTTTGTGATATTCTTGATAATACATTGTTATATTTTTATATCTTATTCTATTAAAAATAAAGTATTATCTTTGAAAGCAAAATTTTGAGTTTTATATGCTGTGTGACCTATTCACATTGAAGACTGGAAGGTGGACCCTAGGAAACACTTTAATTAATAGCTAATCCAGACTCCACAGAAACAGTTATTCTCAGAAACACATCCAAAATCCAAGAACAAATATAATCATATCTTTTGTGTGGTTGACTAATACTTACACTGTTTGATCTCTTGCTATTTTGGTCACTATTGTCTCTTCTGCTCTACTTATGTGCTTATTACATTTTTTTATTTGGTTTCATCTATATAGGTATTACTGACGGTATCAGATCTTGTTTCTGATGCATGTATCATGGTTTGTCTTATACTGACTTTATAAATTCTTGACTTCATGTCAGAGGTAAGATATCAGTTTCCTTGTTTTCCCAGCAACTCAAAGGTTTCTGCATTATATGTCAATCAACCATCCAGAAATCTACTCCAAGAAAATAAACTCTGTGAAAGTAGTCTGAACTTTAATATCCGAAAGAACTTAAACTGTATTTCAATGTCTTAGCCTCAGTAACAACAAACAAAATCAAATGGAATCCACAAATGAGTAATGGTGTTCTGGTTGAATGTGAAACAAAATATAAAATACCTTCCATCATGTCTTAGTGTCCTTCATAATCTAGATAATTTATCAATGAACCTGAGGCAGTACCAAACTGCTTTGAAAACATAACCCTGCACAAAAAAGAATCAGGGATGATCAATTTCTTTCATATAATTCTAGAAATGCAGTTTAAGAAACACTATTTAGCTAGACTACCTATCTTATAGATGCTGGTGTGGAAATGTGTGTATATTATAAGTATATAATGTAAATAGGGGAGAGTGGTCCACAGTGAGACGATTTTTAGTCATTGGAGATTTTTTCACAACTTTTTCTATTTATTAATATTGTTCTGAAGCTATTTTCTTGTGGCATTGTAAATTAATTACTATTAAAACTGGGAATAAGCCACAATTAAAGATAAAATACGTTTATTGACGTTTCAATTTCCAATTCGGAAATCGTTCTCAAAATACAAACAGTAAATTGTAAATCTCAAAATACTGTTTGTATTTTGAGAACGATTTCCGAAGTGGAAATTGAAACGTCAATAAACGTAATTTTATCTTTAATTGTGGCTTATTCCCAGTTTTAATAGTAATTAATTTTTATATTTATATTGAATACAAACAAAATAATCCTGTAAATTGGTCTTTATTGTACAAAAATACACAACAGAAATATATTTGAGCTTGATAAGTCTTAAAAAAATCCTTTTGACGTTGCAAAGTGTCTCACTGTGTCCCACGGTGGTCCACACTGAGACACACAGTGGTCCACAACGAGACATCGTTCATTGAACATGTAGTACGCCAAAATTCACTTCGAACTGAACACAATTATTTTGCCTCTTTGTTTTTCCATATAACACTGGTACAGGTAAAATCATCACTATGTCTTGCGATAAAACACTAGCAAATTCAGGAGCATTTGGATAAAAGAACTTGTCGATTTATTTTTTCTTCTCAGATAATTGATCTCATATTCGAAATCATTGGAAAGATTAGTCAACATTTTGCCAACAAAATATTTTAGTGACTTTTTGCTTGCGAACTTCACAAGAACATAGTCATCAATGACTGCATTTCTATCCAGTTCTTCGAATCCTGTTATTGGAGCATGAAAGTCGGCATCATATTCAGATGAGCTGTTCAGAGATTCTGCGTCGTCACTTGAAGAACTATTTTCGGATTCGATAAATCGTTTTTTACTGTCTTAGCTCAAGCTTTGCGTTTTTTGGCGTTCTTTTGTTTGAAGTTCAATTTTTCTGGAGTATCTGTTGAATGAAACTTCTTCCGCGTTTCCTGTTCTGCACTTGTATTCTTGGAGCAGCTTTGGAGTAGCCTCGAAACTCTTGAGGACTTGAAAACGATTTTGTTGTCATGACGGTTGCTTCAGAATCATGGTCAATGGTAAGTGTTGTTACCACACACTATCAAGATTCGAAGTAGAATCCCCATGTTTGTCATTTGTGCAGAAATCTGAAACTAGAGATTCGACAGTACCATTTGAAGATGTTGACTGTTTAGGCCGGTCTGTGACGGAACTAGAAAGAAAATCTTCTGCAAAAACATCCCGATCATAAGGGAAAATACCCGATTTACGGAATCCTGATGTTATATTAATCGGAGTCATTGAATGCTGAAATGCACTCGTAATACATTCTGGTATATCGTATATGGTCATTGGAACTTCGGGGTGATGCATATGAGCCAAGATTCGACAGCTCATCTGTTATAGTGTGCCATAAATGAAAAATAAAAGCCAACATCCAATGATTGTAGTTTATTATTGCAATGGCATAGAAAGTTTAAAATAGCCCCTAGATTGGATTTGGCTAAATCCACACATTTAATTGAAAAATGACTTTCGTGGTTATCAAACAACAGGGATGTTGGATTTTCGATTGAGGAATTTGTATGGTTTATGATATGACTCATAACTTCCACGAACAACTCACTGTTCACACCAGCCCGAAGGTGTTGCAAGTCACAAACTACGAGTTGGCGTATTGCGAATTAAAATGAGCATTAGGAAATATAATACCTGGTGGAATTGTGTTTCCTGAAGCACTTATGAAACAGTAGGTCATTATTAGATAATCTTTCGGTACTATATTGACTTACCTGTTTAACTCTCTTACAAGCGATTACTTTTTTTGGTTTCTGCACAGGTTGTCGTCCAATTTTCATCTAGATTCCATATTCTAGAGTCATCGGCGAAGTCGTGCCTGCTCAAGACATTATGTAATTTATTAAAGAAAATTGACACATTATGTTTATTGAAAGATAAGGCGCGAGATAAGAAAGACACGAGAAACTACATCTGTCACAGCCATTTGATAATTATTTTGTTTGTATACCGCTTTAAATGCTGAAGTTAAAAATCTCTTATTAAAATTCAAAGAAAGCTTTAGCTATAAAACCTTTTTAAATCATAACAATCTTTCCACTTGTCGGCAATAATTTTTATATTTTTATCGCCATCACTTCAATTTATTTTCTTTATTTTAACGCGTAAGTGGTGTAATAAAAATTGATGAGGTTCTTACAGTTGACTAAGAATCTGAGCGCTGAACGTCGGTATCCGTGGCGTAGTATTTTAATTTTGTGTATGTATAGATTGATGCTTATAAGTGATAATTTTGTTACATCATTTTTTTAAAAGCACGCGATATGTTTTGTTGGGAACTGGCAAATATAGATTTTCAATAATTTTGAAGTTTAATTTTGCAATATACGAACCGTGTATTTTATACGCAAATTCGGGTAGAATTGCGTTGGTACACACTTGACATATTTGGCGACCGTGACAGGACTGTTTCCATAAAATTAATCGTGGTTGTATACGAGGTGTAACAAAATTGAATTGACGATCACCGGACAAACTTTATCGCGTTTCGCCTGTAACTTTCGGTAAACGTGTGTGGTTTTGACCAAGTTTGCAGAGAAAAATGGATTAAAAGAAGAAACATCGCAAAGTGCTCCGTAGCACCTTCACGAGGACGGCGAATGAAATGGATAAGCTTTTGTCGGCGCCGGAGGGTGAGATACGATCAATTAAAGTTTCCTTGGATCTATTACGCCAAAAAATTGAAGACCTAAGGAAAAGTGATGAAGAAATCTACGGTCTATTACTAAGTGAAGACGCTAGTGAAGAAGACCTTTTAGCAGAAATTGAGTGTAGTGACAACTATAGCAAGAAGTTTTTGGATCTCAGTATGCAGTTCGAAGACCGTATGCAGTCAATAGTGACAGGTGCAGTGGAAGGTGAGGTAGCTTCTAGGATATCTGATGATAGGAGTAGTTTAGACAGCAGACGCGGTAAGCGAAAATTTAAATTACCTACATTAGAGTTCAAAAAATTCGACGGGAATATTAAAAACTGGTTGCCTTTTTGGTCACAATTTCAAAAAGTTCATCATGATCCTGACATAGATCCGAACGACAAGGTCGAATATTTGATTCAAGCTACTATACCGGGTAGTAGAGCTAGGCAACTAGTGGATAGTTTTCCCGCCACTGGAAGTAATTATGATGCTATGATTGACTGTCTTATTTCGCGTTTCGGTCGGGATGACTTGCAGATCGAAGTTTATGTACGGGAAATTACTTAAATTGGTAATAAATAATACTGCGTCTGGCAATAAATTAGATCTATCCTTGTTATACGACAAATTAGAGACTCAGTTGAGGGTTCTGGAAACACTCGGTATTAAGTCGGATAAATACGCGGCTATGTTATTTCCTTTAGTTGAATCCTGTCTACCTTCAGATTTATTAAGATTTTGGCAACGATTGCCAGAAAGTATCGGATCACAAGCATCACTTAATTCTGCCGGCATCGCAAGCATCGAAAATCGACTTCAGAGTTTAATGTTGTTCTTGAAAAAGGAAGTTGACAATGAGCAGCATCTTTCTTTAGCAGTCGAGGATTTCCATTTGCATGCTGCTAAAACCGAAGATTTTAAATCTACAGGCCCAAAAACAAGGAGACACGAGGAAAACAAGCACAAGTCTCCTTCCGCGATGGGTTTAGTTAATTCTCACACCATCTATAAATGTGTTTTTTGTCAGAATTCGCATGAAAGCAGCCACTGTTTTAAAGCACAGAAATTAACTTATGACCAAAGGAAAAATATTTTGACAGAAAAAGGCGCGTGTTTTCGTTGTTTTGAAAATTGGACATCAGTCTCGAAAATGTCGCAGTCAATTAAGTTGTTTAATTTGCTCTAAATCGCATGTACCTTTAATGTGCACTGAACTTTCAAGACACCGGGTAAAGCAGGATACAGAAGAGCAGAAAGAAAACGATGGCATTGCCGTGCCAAGAATTGAACAGACGCTCGCTAATAGTGCTAATACGAATGTTTTTTTGCAAACTCTGCGTATTGAAATAAACTATTTAGACAAGTCGCGAGTTGTACGTGCTCTTATAGATACCGGA